GATAGTTGCCACATCAGGACATGTACACCCTCAATGTGTATCCTGTACATGTATTCTTTAGTGGCTAACCTCAACAAGTGAGTTTTAATAACTGAAAAACTAAAAAAAAAAAATGTAGGAATTTTTTTTCAGATTTTTTTTTTTTTTTAGTTTTTTGCTTCTCAAGGCTCACTGGTGAAGATTTACAACTAAAAAGTTCATGGGCTGGATTCACCTTCAGTATGTACATGTCCTGATGTGGCAATTATCCAGATAGCACATCTGATGTTCAGTCAAAGTGGTTGTATACATTTTGACGTTTTGGTTAGGCACCTCTATAGGGGGTCTCCTGGGTCCTCATATACTAGTGTTATATATTGTTATACGAAAATCCTAATAATCGGATTTAAGATTTATCAACCTTAATCCGATTATTACACAACCATGCAAATCCATTATCACCGTAAATATTGGTCCAGTCCAGAATTTCCTCTTGGCTGGAGAATATAAGCAAAAAGTATATTCCGTGATGAACGAGCTGTTATGATGTGACCTGCCAAACAGCCTTCTCACCAGCGTTATAATCCTTCCCCCCGGCATAATCTGCAAAATTCTTCAATATTGATATATGATATCTTGGTCGGCCAAACGGAGTAGCTCTTATAGACTAGTTATGAGGATAGGGAAAGTGGAATAATCAAGTTAACAATAGACTACTGTAAAAAAACCCCACTCATTATTTATACACCCTTATAAGATATAGGGATCCAAGCAATCATCAATAGAGTCTTAACCCCACCAAGCCCATCAAATCCCAAGATTGAGGCAATCACCCATCAAGCCAGATACCTGCCCGAGAAAGACCACCCAAAGTCAAACCCCCGATTCATTTCAATCCAATTTGCCTAAAAGGAATCTTTTTTTTTATGGAATGTTGTGCTGAATGGAGAGGTGTAGTCACATAGCCACACGTCACATTGCTGGTTTGTCCCCCCCTCCATGTTTCGCTTGGATGATGTACTGCCATGATCTCTGATCGCATGGGTTGAATGGCCTTTTTGGGGACATGCACGTTTGCACGTTTTTCACTCATCATGAGGTCCGAGATCCAGGGCCAACGAATCTGGAGCTGGATCCGTGGAGGATCTTGTGAAGCTCCCCCTCCTCAAAGAACCACCAGACTTGTTTCATGACATTCACAAAAAAACAATCAATCAGGCTACCATCGAGTGTGGCAGCTTTCATGCAGCTACATATACTTGAGGTTTCTTACAATCGTACAATACATGAGCGCGAGAGAAAGAAGAACAGTTGTAGTGAGACATACAAATATACAGAGCAAGCAAAAAAAGGGGAAAATAAGAAACAGGAAGAAAGAGAGAAAGAGTGTGTGTTTTAAGAAAAGAGAGAGAGAGAGAGAGAAATTACAGAGATTTTTGCAGCAACCAAGTTTTACAAATGATCGGATTAGTGGTCGAAGCGAGGGCCAAGAAGACGGCGGCATCAGCGGGATTTTCGAGCACATGGACGAAGCGGACGAATTGGAGGGGGTCGAGGGCGTCGATGAACATGGGGGCCAACAGGGTGATAGCCTCGATGGACGGATTTGAGGGCGGCTTGATGTGATCTTGTTCGATTTTCGAAGGAGGCGTGTCGGTCTGGTTAGTAGCAACAGTAGCAGCAGCTTGCCTAATCACATGAGCTTCCGCATGGATTTGTGGGTCTTCAGCAGTGGCCTGGCTGGCATTTTCGGGCTGCGGTCTTGTTTGACTAGAGGCCGAAGATCTGGAAGATCCGGCCATGTGTTGGTCTTCATCGACCCGCCCATCCACGCAAACCATTCCGTTCTCCCGCCCGGTCGCACAAGAGGTGATTCGAGTCAATCTAGTATCTGCTTCCACCGGAGGATTCGAGAGTCGCGATTTTCCATGGTTGATGGCTGGTGTCGGTTGTAAAGGTGGACTCTTGGGAGCGCTGTCCAAGACAAGTTTTGACATACTGGAACTGTTTATGTTAGCAGGGTCCCGATGAGCAAGCCGGGGTTGTTTCTTTTTTGAAGGAATGTGATGCTCATCATCAGCCGAGATGGTCTCGTTGTTTCTCTTGTGAACAAGCGGCGCCTTGGTCGAATCCGACGCCGAAGGACTAGGGATTAACGGGGCTCCAAGGGCGGCTTGACTGCTGCTCTCTCGCTTGTGCTTGTTGTTATTGAGGAACGAGAAGTGGCTTTTTTGGGCGCTTGTTGTTGGTGCTCCATTGAAGACTTGTTGGGCTACACCGTACCAGCTAATCGGATCGCGTCGGTTTCGCAGCTGTGGATACTTCTTCTTAGGGTTCTCCTGCACCCCCGCCCAAGCCAGATTAAAGAATTCATTGATTTAGTAATCAATATCCGAATTGAGTAAATGTATCGATCGATCGAAGTGTAAAAAAACTACCTTGATCAGGTGGTCCCAGGTATTTGGATCAGCAGAAAGGATCCAGTTTTTCTCATCCCATTGGAACCCAAACCGATTCTTCAAAAACTTGATGTCAAGAAAGGTTTTATGGATCCGATCGAGCTGGTTTTTGAGCCATTTAAAATGAAACTCTCTGTCGAATTTCGTCTTCATTTTCCCGGTTACGACAGTCCAACCTTGACTGGAGAGGTTGCCATTAACGGACTGGAACTCGAGCTGCTGTTGGTCGAGGATAGCTTCGAGGAGCGCTTTTTGTTGCTCGTCCGTCCAGATGTGAGTCGGCGTCCATACCGCAAAGATCTCCTTCTGCGCCATTGCTTCAATCTTGCTCTTGTCGTCTTCTTCTTCTTGTTGACAGGTTATTTGTGTGCTTGCAGAGGGGTTGTCTAGATTTTGTCGCTTCGACTCAGTCGGGGTGGACCGTGTTGGATGAACGCCAAGCGAGTTATCGGTGGCTCCTTTGCGCTTCGCCCACTTGTTCTTGCGAGCATCGATTATATCCTAAGGTTGAAGCGAACTTGATCAATTGAAATTTCTTCTTCGAAAGCACTCACACAGTACGGTAGTTACAAGAGTAACTTACCTGAATCATGAATCGAGCACGGGAGCCTATGTTCGGACTCTGAGACATCTTGTTTATTGTTTCGAAGTACAGATCCATAAAACTTTGGGCTTTCGGTTGATCGAGTAACTCGCCAAAGTTGATCATCAGATCTCTGAGGTATTCGATATTTTCTTGGTAGATTTGACTATTTCGTAATAGATCCTTGATACAAAGATGCATTTGTGTCTCGGTTATGAAGTTGACCTTGAATAATTCCGCTATGAAACGGAATAGACTGAGCTTGCGACGTCTGATCCTTGCAGCAATTAGATGTAAGTCATTGCCTGGAATGTCCGCTTTCTTGGTGGGATGACCGTCCTTTTTATCGGTGCCGATTTCAGAAGAGATATGACGGGGATAATATCGTTCCTGCGTCCATGCTCTGGCGAGATAGTGACGAAACCATCGACCGGTATGCCATTGATTGCGGTCGGAATCAGGTGGCCGGGTGTCGGATTTGAGTTCGGGCGACATCTGGTCGATTAGTTTTTTGCAAAGCTTGGCATACATCTCCGCCCAATCGCCTCGAAGGGTCACTTGCTCTAAAATCATCCGAACTACTTCCCGCAGGATTCTTCCATCATCAGCCTTCTCAGAACAGTCGAGCTTGGTGACGAGAACTGCCCAGATCGAATCGAAGTTTGACCAGGTCAATTTGTTTAACAGCCCCTGTATTTCCCGCGTGATCGGCCGATTGGTAGAAGAAAACTCTTGTGTTCGGCTCATATGTGTTGCTGCCCAACTATTGGCTGTTCGTTGTAGGGGCCGAACAGCCCGTTGCGATTGTATGATCATCATTATTAAAGTGGGTTGGAAGCCTCGAGACCTGTACTGCCGCAAGATGAAAGAAGTGATCAGTGGCCATTCTCATCAATGAGACTTTTAAAAAGTTCACTTTACATACACAAACTTATAGGGTTTGCTCCTGATTGGCCAAGTACAGAACAATCCACTGGAGGAGGAACCGATGACTTGATGATGACTGGAACGCTCGGAATCGTAGCTGATTGAACGACGAGACCACTTGGATTCCAACTGAGATAAGGATGTGTGGATGCACGGATCCTTGGACTAGAGCCAACCTGGACCAACTGGTTGAGCAAGTGGCTGCATCCTCGAAACTTTGATTTTCAGCCACATTCAGACTTCAGCAACACAGTCCCCCAGTCACATAAATATTCAAGTTTAGAAAATAAAACTAAATTCTAGAGTTTACAACTAGCTGGCTCCTTTTCCTTAAACTGTTATCTGATGTACTCATAAGGCCCCACAAACATACAAATTGCAAGAATGAGTGAAAGTTGGGCCATCAAATTAGGACGGTTCACATCTGAGCTTAGAGGCAAATTTAATGACATTGGATGACTTCCTGTCAACATCTGCGGGTCTCCCAGTTTTGATTTGGAGCCGAAAAAGCTAGATTTCCCTGCAAAAATCTAGACTTTTTGGGTCTAAATCAAAAACTGTGAGGGTCCCAGATCCAACGGGAAGTCCTCCATTTATCATCAAAATTTGGCTAATTTCACAGAAATCTCAAATTCCTCCAAACCTGATAATTTGTGAGATTTGACAAAATTCATACAATTTTATCTACAAATGTGCTAAAAATTGCCTTGAACTTCAGACATGAACCGGCCTATTGTGGCCATATTGATTCCAGCTTTGAGAAGGAAGTTCAACACAGGGGACTATAAATCTCTTTGGTGGGGTGTAACAACGGTGCAACAGATACAAGACATGTATTTGTATTGGATTGTATTGTCTTCATTTTGAGCCTGATACTGGTATCAGTATTTTCTTGGTTGGTGAGAAAATCCATTTTCTTGGATTCAGATTTACAAAAAGCCGTGGGTTGCTATGCTACACTACACTATGGGCCCATGTAGTGTTAGCTTAGCGGCGCCAACAGCTGCTTTTTTTGTGTAGTGTTAGCGCACCACTACTGCCGCTGCGCTACACTGATTTGTGGTGGCGCTAACACTAGCCATTTTTTGGTGTAGTGTCAGCGCGCCTCTAGTGCCGCTACGCTACGCTACAGCATTTTTAGCGGCAAAAAACGCCTAAAAACTGCTGTAACGCAGGAGGTGTACACCCTCAATGGCCAAGAGGTTTCACTCAGCCATTGGGGTGTACAGCCTCAACGGCCGAGAGGTTTCTTTTGGCCGTTGAGGGTTATACCCTTATGTAACGCCCGAGAGAAATTCTCTCGGCCGTCAAGAGAGCACTCTCCGCGGCTGGGAGGAATCCTCCCGGCCGCTTGTTTTTTTTTTTTTTTGATCACCAACCCCACAAAACCACTTGGTTTTGGGGCATTGACACCCAACCCCTCTGGGGTTTTTCCTTTTTTTTATTTAAATTTTTTGGGGGACCGACTCCCAAACCCAAGGATGGATTTGGGGAATCGACTCCCAAATTTTGGGGAAACCCGGGTTTGGGAGTCGACTCTCCAATTTTTGGGAGTTGGTTGACCAAGTCCCTTTTTTTTTCTTCTTCAATACAGCCGAATATCTTGTGTATCAAATACGTTTTTGGTGGGATCAGTCATCTGAGACAATACAGAATACTTGTCTCACTTTCCAAAGACAATACATGTGTATTGTCTCAGGAAAGTGAGACAACACAAATCCGGTATTTTTGGGTATTCAAATTCTGAGACAATACAAATAAACGCCTGATACCGTCTTGTATTGTCTCTGTTGCACCATTGGGTGCAAACTTACCAACAGATGAGTTTCCATATTCTGGTGCTTCCATGCCTCCAAGTATCACTATTCCCATTTTACTCTGATTGTCTTTCTTCTTTGCAAGTCATGTACTTAGTTCAAAATTTCAGCCCTCAATTCTAATTTATGTGAACAAAACTAACAGGATCACTGGGCTCTGTTGAAACATATCCATGGCCCACTTGATTTGTGAAAAGCTGGGTATCATCACTTTCAATCTTATTTAAATTGTGAGATTCTACATCAATCCTTGCAGCATTGGATTCTGTGTTGTTTACTGGATTTACTCTTCTGACAGTGTGTTGAATTTTTAGGCCAAAGCACAAGAGAAAAGTATAATTGGAGAAAGGGGCCAAGAAAGAGGAGGTTCTTTTTTTAGAGAGGCTCACAGAGAAAGAGAGAAAGAACCAATGTTGTTTATTCCTTTAAGCTAGACTAGTTTAAATAGAATAATTACAAGGTGAAAATGTGGTAGAGAAGAAATTGAATACAAATGATTTTGGATAGAAACTGAGAGGAGGAAATATACAGGTTCATCATTTGAATAAATAACCAGACAAGCCTTCTCAGTCTCTTTTAGTCAAGCCAGAAAATGAATCATGAAAAAACATATATTTGACCACAGGTATTTAAGACTTGTTAATCCCAAATAATCAGATTTTATGAATCAACAAAATTGGAAAAAAGAATAAGACTTTAGAGAGACACGAGTAGTTGACAAGAGCTTTTTACTCAAGTTTCATTGAATACAGAAGCGGCTTCAGGCAACAAAAAGCAGGCTACTTGAAGGCTATAATCTAGTCTAATTGAGGAAGATTCCAGAGAAAAAGGAAAGAACAGAAAAGACAGAATGGAAGGGTGATTTGGGGAAGAAGTAGGCAAAAACCAGGAAAACTCAACACAGTGATTGAACTGATTCCTTGAATCTGTTTCAAAGGATTAAATTTTTGGTCAAACTTTATTGGCAGAACGTTATGGTTGCATATGGAAAATCTGCCTAACTAAAAAATTTACTGACAGGGGAACCATTGTGTAGTTTGTAAGAATCATTCTGCACAGACAAATCAAGAAGTAGTATTGAGGTTGTGCCCACTGGTATATAATATCATATTCATGTTTGATAAAGGAGATGAATGTATGTATTAATAGTTACTCAAGTAATGTTTCTATTTTTGTGGAATGAACTTGATGACAGTCCATTAATGTTTGGAAAAGATCCCTCTATTTATAGAAAGACTAGTATATGCCCCCAAATTTGGGGAGGCTGCTTGTTTTTGCCCCGGATGTTGGGGGTTTTACTGGTTTGAAGCTCCTATGGTGTAATAGCCTTTGCTTTTGAAGGCCATTGTAGCCTTTGCTTTTGAAGGTCGCTATGATTGTAAAGTCTTAGCAAATGTCGGAAATGACATTGAAATGTGCAACATCGACGCCGGCGTTAGAAGCCGCATGAGAAATCAATAGAAAGCACTATTCAAGCCTGACGGTTTGTTTGGCCTCTGAGGCTATTTTTTTTAGTTATATGTAGATACATTGTGGTAGCTGAAATTGCAGGCAAAGCTAGGTTTTTCACACCAGATCAGTCAGTCATACCAATCAAAATTGAAGACACCACAATCTTGTGTTTTAGAATCTTGACCAAGCAAATGTGGAGAAACATGTCTGGGACCCAACTGCATCATGAGCTACACAAGTGGCTGGCCTGACTGCAGGCTGACCAGCACTATTTAAACCACTGTTGCCAGGCCTTTATGACCATTCTAAGATGATGCTGTTTTGGAATATCAATCAGGGTTTTACTTCATGTAACAGGGTTTTGGGACCTTTTCTCATTGGCATGTTTTACCAGAATACCCTTACACAAAGGAAAAGCAGAGAGCTGTCAGTCATTCTTCATCCATTTTGCATCAAACAATTGTATTGTATGCTTTACAGAAACCATTTGATCTGCTTTATTTCTGGGTTTGTGAGACAGATCATTGATCAATATCTGATCACCAAATGGCAATTCTGAGATATGTGTACTGTACATAGTGGTAGAAAATGATGAATATCCCACATGGAGTACTTGTGCAAGTTTCAGATTTATATGAAACACATGTAGTCAACTGACAACTCAAAAAAATGAATCACACATATCCATGAGGATCAAAGCTAAAAAAAAATTCAACTGCAAGTAAACTTTGTTTCCTTTGACATGATACAGTTTGAAAAAAAAGTTTGAATGAGAGCAAAATCCCTAGAAGTCTTTTTACATTAAAAATTAGTCAGATGCCAAATCACACTAGAAAATCTGGGACATGTGTCTTCATTTTGAAGACTTTTGTCAGATCTAAATGTCTTGTTTTGTTGTTTACCTTGGAACCCAATTGGGAAGCCCTTGTTATCTATCACTGTACACATCCTCACATGCATAATGTATACAGGAGTGGACATTTAACCCCGGTTCAGGATATGAACTCATATTTTTCACATATTTACTTCACAGAAAGCAGACAAGGATTGTGAAATTAAGGGTGGATTTGGCCTTGGATCAGATCAGAGTCCATTCCTGTCAAAAATTGACATCCAAAATTTTTGTTTGGGAGGATGGATACATGAGCTCTCCCCAAAGAAAAAAAAACAACACAAACAAGTGTAGTCTGAGTGATGTATGGAGAACAAAAAATGTATTAGGGGGTATCAAATATAGGAAATCCACCATTAGAAACCAGCCACTTTTCCCAAAGCATTTTTTTGTGTCAAAAGGCCCCATAAGAGCATCTCTAACGGTCCTGCTGATGCGGGACCTGGGACCGACTTCAGCGGGCCGCGAGGCTCTTTTGGCCGCTAGCGGAGCTGCCGAGCGAGCTGCTGAACATCGCGGGGGTGAACCAAAGCTGCCCTCGGCTGCTGAGTTTGGCAGCTTTGGCCGCGTTTCACCCACCCCCGCTCAACTTCACAGTCCGCATTTAGGACAGCTGTGACAGACCGGTGACACCTCGGGACATCTGACTCCAGGCCGCCAAAGGCAACCCGATCCACCCCCAGACCGTTAGAGATGCTCTAAGGGGTTACATGAATAACCAACATGTTTAAAAAAGCGTGGATTTTTTCAAACCAGTCAATCAAATAATGGTGGATTTGGTTATATTTGATACCCCCTATTATAGGAAAGAGGGAAAAGAAATGTATCTGATGCTTTGACCCACCAGATTTCAATCTAATTACATGTGACACATTCTATCAAAAAAGGGAGGGGCTCAAAATTTGGGACCCCTCTCAGAGCAATGATTAGCTAATGGCATTGGAATGATGAGCTCTTTGGGAGGTTTTGCCATCAGATGAATGACTTGGGTCATTTTTATGTGGATTTGTGATTTCATGTTATAACACATGCATGATGGTGAAACCATTGTAATGGTAAGTCCTTCAATCTCCCTCCCAACATATGCATACTCACTGATGCACATAGTGATTTGGTTTCACAATCAAGGCTCAGCTATTCTCAGAAAAAAAAACCATTCGAATCCATGGAATAAAGCTTTAGAGAAAATTAATATAACTTTGCTTATGGAGTTTGAAATCAGATTCTTCTTTGATGTGTGTCTATAACCAAAGCAGATGGAGAGAAGAGGACAAGGAAATCTGTAAGCTGGGTCATTATAATTTAGCCGATTTGCGAGTCAGCCAAGCCTTGCAAGTGTCCGGGTTGGTGGTCGAAAGGAGAGTCAAAAAGATTTGCGCATTTGTCTCGCTCTCGACGACCTCGACAAACTTGGCGTATTCTGAGGGGCTCACTTGGTCGAGCAAGATGTGAGCCATTGAGGTAACCGCTTTGATGGTTGGATTTGACGTTTCCACGTCTGATTGATCAGGAGCGATTGTGTGTGTTTTGCTCGCGTCAGGGACAGCTGTCGTGCCGGGAAGCACCCTAAGATTGGTATCTTCTTCTTTGCTGGGTGTTTCTTCAGACTGTAGTTGCGTTTTCTTCGTCACTGATGGGCCTCGAGAGGAGGGAGTAATGCTACGCCCATCTTCGTCGGCCTTGTCGTCTGTCGAAATCTCTTTGGGCTTCGAGTTTTCAACACCAGGCTTTATAAAGATGTTTTCATCTTTGCTGGTTGGTTCTTCAGACTGTGGTTGTGTTTTCTTCGTCACTGATGGGCCTCGAGAGGAGGGAGTAACGCTGCGCCCGTCTTCGTCGGCGTTGTTGTCTGTTGAAATCTCTTTGGGCTTCGAGTTGCCAGCACCAGGCTTTATAAAGATCATAGGAATACAATAAGTCTGTGAGCTGGTCTTGCCATTTTCCAGTGATGGTGTTGAAAAAAAAGGGAGGCGCATACATGTTTCTCCGTTTCGGATGCTGCACAAAAGGTCTGTTCGGCAAGGCTATACCATCTAATAGGCTTGTGTCGGAGCTGTGAATATTTCTTATGAGGATACTCCTAGAACTCCACCAGGAAAGAGTTTAACCATCCAAACAAAACGTTGTTGGTGCGAATTAGGTTCAATGTTGGTCTAGAAAACTCGTCTTGTCTAACAAAATGAATACCTTCAAAAGTTTTTCCCATGTAGCATCATTGGCACTGATTGTGCCGGTTTTCTCATCCCATTGGAATCCGGATCGCTTGCGCAAAAACTTGATGTCAAAATAGGATTGACGAAGTTGATGTAGTAGATTTTTCAAAGCCTTCAGACGGAATTCGGTCCCGAAGATCTTGTTCATCTTTTCGGCTATGGCCTGACTCTGAAGGTTCCCGTTGGTCTTGGTTAGAGGACAGAGGGATCGCTGTTCGAGGATGAGCGTCAGGAATTTCGTCTTCTGCTCGTCAGTCCAACTATCTTGAGGGTCATCGTCAGATTCGTGTTTGTTTAATCTTGGTCGCTTTGATGGTCTAGAATCTTCGGTGCCAGCTTTCGCACTACTCGTTGACGCCTCGAGATCCCTCGGCGGAGTGCCCTGTGGGGTGGTACTGGTCGGTTGCACTCGCAGTGAGAAGTTGCCAGCGGCAACACCGCTCCAGCCAGATTGGTCACCGACATGGGTCGTATCCTAAAAGCAGAGCAAGACGCTTGGTGAGTTTCCTTGTTGTAAATCCCTACGATCGTAGTAGGAAGTGACTGCAGATGCTTACATACTTGAGTCATGAATTGAGCTCGTTGGCTCAAATGTCCGCTGCAAGTGAAGAACACGATCACAGCAAACCGCCAAGGAGCCTCCCCCCCAGCTGAAAGGATTACCCTGGGGTTCGGGACCCCCGTGATTTGAGGGGTGGCCCGGGGAGAGTCAAAACTCATTGGGATTTTTTTTTTTGGTTTCATGCCCTTGATGGCCCATTTGAAACCACTTCTGGGTCCATTATTTTTCTCTTTTGGCATGTGAAATACACATCAAAACAAGGAAGAAGAATCAGGAAGAATCCCAGTAAACTATGAACCCCTGGGTTTCAGGTTGCACAAAGCCCATCCCAAGCCCCAATAACTGGGTTTTGAGCCTGGGGCAGCCCCAATTTCCCAACCATTGGGGTAATGCATTATGCTAGCTTGATACAATCCCCTTGTTTCAGAATGCTGATGGAAGCCTGTTGTGCTGGGGGCACCTCCCAAGGCCACAAGAGGAGCCTCTGAAATAGGCTTGCTTTCACTCCAACCAAAGGGTTTGGGTTAAGCTAGGGGAGGCTTTCTGTTGAAGCTCCAACTTTCAAGTATCATAGGCCCCCAGCTGCCACTATTAGCATGTCTCCACCCCTGAAACACTGGGCTGCTATGCTGTGCTTTTTGCCCAAAAAGCCTACCATAGCAGCTTTTTTTGGCACCAAATTCACATAGAGTTAGTGGTTTTTTGATATGCTACGCTGCAATACAGGCTGCTAATGGTTGCTGCACGTCCAAAATGACACTAACCAGTGCATGAGCACATTTTGAAGGCCTAAACATGCAGTGTTAGTGTGGAAACAGCAGAATTCTGCTGTGATGTAACAGCGGTGTGCCGCTACGCTACACTACACTTTTGGCCCAAAAAGCGTAGCGCAGCGGCGCTTTTTTTTCATCCAAAAACCGTAGTGTTAGCGGTTTTTTAGCAGTTTTCCGCTACGCTACGCTGCGCTACAGGCCAAAAACCGCTAAAAAGCGCTGTAGCGCAGCGTAGTGGGCCCTTTTTTTGGGCCCACACGCGTAGCGTTAGCGGTGTTGTGGCGGAATCCCGCTATGCTACGCTAAGCGCTAACAGCAATTTTGCTGCATTACGCTACACTAACCGCTACGGTTAGTGTAGCGGCCCACCGTTGGATGTAACACTAAATTGTAGCAGAAGTCCCTTACCTTATGCCATCTAATGCTGCCATTAGCATAACTGGCCCATTGTTGGCAAGAGTGTTAGATCACATTGAGTTGAACTAAAGGTTAAAGGTACATGTCTATCATATCGTTTCTGCACAAGAACAGTATATTTTCCCCCAACATCCCTACAAAGTGGTATAAACCATCTTGGGGCCAGTACATACAGTCAAGTGATTGAAAAAAATCACTTCAATTGTGCCAGGTATCAAATGGCCATCAAGTGATAACACACTGAATAAAAACACACAATTGCCAAGATTATGCCAATGGGCTACACTCAATGACACATACCAACTTTCAATTTGGTTGAGAACATCCTTGACGGTCCTTTCAGACCAGTGAGTTGGATTGCATAAGAGCCCCTTGCTGACTGGCCCTCCTCTGTAATTGTGAAAAATAACTGTATCCATTGATGGTCAGAAAAAAAGCAGCTCTTGATATCAACAATGTGCCACTACGCTACACTACATTTTTTTCCCCAAAAAGCATTAGCACAGCGGCATTTTTTTGCAAAGAAATCACATAGATTAGTGTTAGCAAACCATTAGGGGGCTTTTGCTATGCTGAAAACAGCTAACAGTTGCTACAGGGCCAAAAAAAAAAAAAAAAAAAAACGCTGACCAGTGCATTAGTGCAGTGTAGGGGCCTTATTTGGGGCCTAAACATGTAGTGTCAGCAAAGATGTGACAGAATTTGGCTATGCTATGCTCAAGTTTAGTGGGATTCTGCCACTTGACACTACACAGTAGTTCAATTCACAGTGTTGGGTCAAGGCAATGATTCATTTTTTTTTTGTGCAAGATTAGGAGAGAGTAGAATGAAGCAAATGATAGTTTGGTATATGCCAATGAATTGATCTTCTTGAAAAAATTGCAACTTGGATTTTTGGTTTATAAATTCAAGTGCTTCTAGTGAGGAATTCAAACCTGTCACCACATTCAACGGAAAATCTGCAGTAATTTTTCAGAAAACAAAAACCTCCATGCAACCAAGAGGCTCTTCTGTAACATATATCTGGAGCCATCTTCAAGATAAAAAAAAGATAGAAAGTAGGTTATAATCAAAACACATGCATTTTGAAGTTCATATGTGAGTAAGGATGGTAATTGGGCCGGGTGTCCAACGGGCCGCCCGAACCCGACCGGGTTTGGGCCGGGTTCGGGCCAAGCTTTTTATAGAATTTTTTACTTAGGCCCGGCCCGAGATGACCCAATTAAAGGTCGGGTCTACTCGGGCTGCCCGTCGGGCCGGTGCAGTAGTGGGGGGTCCTGACTCTTGGGTGCTTCGGTCAGGTCCGAGTGGACCTGACCGAGCGCCAGGACCCCTCAGAGCTGAGCTTATCCCGAGGTCCAAACCAACCCCAGCTCCTACTCCGTCTGCGACCCCGCCGCCGCGAGTGCTAGCGCCGGGATCTCAACTTCCTAGTGACCAAGCCCGCGGGCAGCCCGCTAACAGCCCGGAAGCCTGTCTCTATATTGGCCCGCGGGCTGCCCACGGGCAGCCCGATTTGTAAACGGGTTCAGGTCGGGTAGTAGATTTCTTGATTGCAGCCCGGCCCGACCCGCCCGGCAATGTTCTGGCCCGCTTCGGGCCGGCCCGCGGGCGGCCCAAGCCCGCCCGATTATCATCATTATATGTGAGTGAGATTGAACATAGATTACATGGATGCAGAAACAACAAAATTGGTAGAACAGGACTAGTTTAACAATTGATTCTGGAGAGATTTCTGGGTAAGCCAAGTCTCACAGATAGCAGGATTAGTGGTAGAAACCAAAGACAAGAAGACCTTGGCATTTGGCTCATTCTCGACGACCTGGATGAACTTCACATACTGAAGCGGGCTGACTGAATCGAGGAACATACGGGCCATCGCGGAGACGGCTTCGGCGATCGGATCCGGTCGGGCCTGATCTGGACCTTGCCCAGCCGGTGTGGGATCATCAAGGGGTTCTGCTCGCTCAGTTGGGGGAGCAAGAGGCTCCGCAATTGGGCTGTCTATTCCCTCAGTCATAAGATCGTCTTCGGATTGTGCTGTCTGCTCTCTAGCGGAAGAGACGGAAGTTGAAGGGAAGGCTACGACGTCTCGATCATCGCCATCTGCTCGAATAATCTCTTCATTCTTTCGCGCCACATCAGTGGGAGACTCCGTATGTTTATTTTTTGCCGAAATGTGGCTGAAGACTTGTTCCGCCAAGCTATACCACTCCAGTGGACCCGATCGGATTGATTCATATTCATCTCGCTTCTGCGGGCTTGCCTAGAACCCAATTAATCGATAAATCCAGGCAAAGATGACATCAGCATTGGCTCGTAACAAGGATCTCAATAGGGAAAGAAATACCTCAAGGAGCCTTTCCCAAGTTGCTGCATCAGTGGTAAGCCAACTTTTCTCCTCATCCCACTCGAAATCAGCTAGACACCGTAAGAACTTGACCTCGAGATAAGTCCTGTGAAGCCGATTGCGTTGACTTCTGAACCACGCTTGCTCGAAGGCAATGTTGAATCTCTTGTTCATACTCTCGACCACGTTTGTCCAACCCTGTCTCTTAAGGTTTCCACTGCTGGTCCGGAATCCAAGTTGATGCTGCCCAAGAATATATCCCAGGAACGCCTTCTTCTGTTCGTTGTTAAGAGTGACATTGGTGTCTTGTTTTTTCAGTGGACCTTGTTTTGGTGCGGATAAGGGGCGCTGTCGAGTGGCTTTTGGGGGTGCTCTTGTTGATTCAACCTTAGGCTCGTGGCCGCGCTTGACCCATTTGTTCTTTCGAAGGTCGATGAGGTCCTGGAATACAAGCAAATCAATTAGAATGGCTAGCCTCCTTGGGCACCAGGGATGCATATAGCGCTTACCATAATCATGAACCGGGCCCGTGAGCTTGGAGACAGATTCTTCGACATTGTTTCCATCCGAGAAAAATAAACATTCATGTGGCTGATGGCTCTTTCATGATCGAGTAATCCACCGGCGGTCGTCATCAAGCAACAGAGCACTTCGATTTTTTCCTCTCTAGGTGTATCAAGATTTTCGAGGGGTTTCTTGATACACTCGTGCATGATTCTCTCGGTCAACAAGTTCAACTTGTACAGTTCTCCGAAGAACTGGACAAGTGCAAGACCCTGTCGTTTGGCCTTTTGGACGGCATAGAAATCGTCAGAGAGGAGTACGTCTTTCTTCGCGTGGTCTTCCTGGCTTTTGCTTTCTGCTTCAACATGCGGTTTCCCGTCTGCGGCTTGCTGAACGGCGCCATCAGCTAACTTGCAGACACCTCTCACTCCGTACTCATCTGAGTAAACCGAAACGAGTTCTTCGTATTCTTTCTGGCATCGATTGAGTAGATGTTTGCGAAACAACTGACCACCGTGGCAATCTGGGAAGCTTTCATCTTTGATTGTAGCCGACAGCTCCATGATCAATCTTTGGGAAAGTCTAGCATAAAGTTCAGGCCAATGACCACGACTGGTGAGTTGCTCCAAGATCAGGTTAATCGCCTGTCGTACACTTCTGCCGTCCTTTTCATTCTCGGATTCATTGATCAAAAGGGTGATTTGATGGGATATGGAGTTGAAGTTTGGCGACGTCAGTTTGTTTAAAAGCCCCCTCAGTTTCCGATCATTTGCCTCGCCGGGCGAGCACTCGTCCAATCGCATCAATCGTCTCGGTGTCCAACTGTTGGCTGATCGTTTCAGCGGGTGGGGCGCGTTTTCAGGCAAGATCTGTTGGATTGCCTGACACACCTCAATATCAGCATTGGATTCCAAGACCATCACTCGACAACCTGAGAAATCCGAAAGCTTACCATTCTGAATATCCGGTCAAACGTACCGGCAGCCTTGAACTTTTTTCTGTGGATACTCTTTCAGACTGGTTATTGACCTTCAGTAGCGATTCTCCCGCCGGCGTGAGGAGCAAAACCTTATGTATGTGACCGGGACGAAGGGTTGATGGATGAGGAGGAGAGTCAAGTCCAAAGTTCCATGGACCATGGTTGGCGGACGCGCACAAGTCAGCCCTGTCACAGGCCTGTTACTGACTAGACCTCTCAGCTCCTGCAGTTTGCACACCACACATTAGCGGAGAGGTAAAACTTGAATTGAGATCATTCCCCCTGACAGATCAAAGCCGAACTGTATCACCATCTAATGAAGTGTGTATGTATTTCAACTAGCAAGAAAGACTAGGAAACTGTTGAAACAGGCAGGGATAGGACCAAAAACAAAAGAAACTTGGAGGAACAAAACCTTTTTTTTTGATTATGTATGTACAAGCTTGGTGGCTGTGAGGGCAACATTAAAGTTTTGATAGCGGTCATGCTGAAAATTGACTCCAATTTCTGAGATGATGGCTGAAACAAAAATGAACTTCTGAATAACAGTTCCCAAATTGAAATTACACCAGACTCAAGAAATTATGATGACATTTGCAGAACATCCTGAGTTGGGTTTTCACAACCACACCAAAAACGTATCAAAATTCTAGAATTTTTTCTAACTTTTTTCTTTTGTATCCATACCTTGCATCAGATGGCCAAGCAAGATTGTGAATTTCCAAGCCAGTAAAAGGCACAACATTTCCTGGTGAGAATCCAGCTTATGACTTGATGGGCTCAATTTGAGAAGAAATGGAATTGTGAAAAGTGAAGATTTCAACCAGAGAGTCAAATGGAAATTATACAGGCTTGGAAGGGAAATTCCAATTCAATTCAAATTTTAATCAAGGGGAAAAAATGATTGGAACAGGGATGATATTGATGATCTCTATGTGACACATCACAAGTTAAACTTGCTTCTAAATTGAAAGGACAGGCAAGAGGCATAAATCTTTGTATTCTAAGATTTTGGATCTTTTGGGTAACATCTCAGGAAGACAGAAACTGCATGTTTTATTCTTCATGAGACTTTTTCATTGAAGAAATCCATTTGTTAGCTTTGAGGTAGGCTGATTCAAATGGAATCATACAGCCATAAAGCATAAGTTGTGGTACCGTCCAGGCCATGAAATTTGTAATCTTTACAATGTCCTTTGCCATATCATACCAGCTTTGTTTGTAATTTGGGTGACCAGGGTGAATGGTACCATCATAATTTTTATATCTGATGTTTACTGATCCATCAGGCAAGCAAGTGATTTTTCGGCCTTCTTCTGATTCCCCCTGATGCAGTAAGTGCTCTTTCAGAGCTTCTTTCCCTTCAGCAATTACCTTGTCAAGTAATAGAATTTGGAATTTCAGCATCAAATTCTACAAAATCAAATTGGTTTTATGTGAATAAAACTAACAGTAGAGATGTCACTTGGCACCCGCCAGCAGGTACCTGCCACACTTTCAGAAGGTGCCCTGGGCACTTCCATCCACCAGCTTTGAAGGTGGAGCATACAGAACTGTTTCTTGGACAGGAATACATCCTTCCAATGCACAGCTGGTGGCTGGAGGTGTCCAGGTAATTGTTTGAAAGTGTGGCAGGTACCTGCTGGCAGGTGCCAAGTGACATCTCTGACTAACAGCATCAATGTCATCCATTGGACCTTGTTCAAAGTATGGTTTGCCTCCAATATAGTGTCTATGATTCTTTGCAATATGATCAAATGTGCTTTGAGGCATATTGCATTCCACGGCACCCCCTCCCACAGTGGTTACTGGGTTGTGAGCCAGAGAAGGTGCAGGGACTGCTAGTCCAACTGTCATACTAATTCCTTGAATCTGATTTAAAGTTTCAAATTGTTAGTTGAACCTTGTTGAATATTTATTCCCAGAAAAAAAGAAAATTTTGCTTAACTAAAAAAAGCAGTAAGGAAAGCCCCATTGTTGAAGTTTTGATGATGATCTTAGAAAACAAAACCAATATTTACTATGGAAGGTCTGTACAATTTTAGAAATATCAGTTTATTATCAAATTTATGTGAGATGATCAAGCAGGAAATCAATTTACTCCTTGATAGCTATTTTTAATGCTGAAAATAAATCAGAAGTTTTTTTGTTTTTATGAATGAACCTGAGAATTTTCAATCACAACTTTTGATTTGGGCCTCTATTTATAGACTAATCCAGGATGGGGAGTGCTGTAACTTTTTGCTGAAGCAAAATCTTAATTATTTTGCAGTGACATTATGAAAATTAGTCAATCATGATTTGAGACACCATCAGATTGTGTTTTGGACTTATGACAAGGGAAACATGGTGGAAGAGTTTTAAAACCCTACCAAGCAGCATACAAAAATGTCTGTTTAATACATAATACTTGTTTGGAGACTTCCTGATCATTTTTTATCTGACATGTCTTCTGGATTTCTTCTAATCAGGATTGGGTGGGGGACCACATCCACATTCAAAAAAAAGTGGAGATCTGTCAGTTTTTAACTGTTTTGCATAGTGCATAGATAAAAAAAATTTGTTCAAAAAATGATACTCTTTTGGAGACTTCCTGATAATTTTTTTTTATCTGGCATGTCTGCTGGATTTCCTCTTGTAAGAATTGAGGTGGAGAGCTGTCAGTTGCTACCTGTTTGGAATATAAAGTTCATAGACAAATGACATAATACTTACTTGAAAAAAAAATCACTCATTTGATACCTTGTTTGTGGTAGTCAGAATAACAAAATTGGCCAAACACCCCCAGTAGGAAAGTACTAAATAATATTATTTGAAACCAATACCAAAATTTGAGTTTTCAATCTTGTTCAATTACTTTAAAGAAACAGTGTTGCACAAGGAGTATCATGACTTATTTAAGGCCCAATCAGCAAAATCCAATGTGATAACTTGAAAAATTGACAGCTGAATTTTTTTCTTGTTTTGATCCCACAATGTTTATAAATCAGACCCAATTGAAATTCAGTCAAGGATTTGGGCATGTCAAATTTTTGATTTTGTTTCATTTGTACTGAATCATGTCAGGAAAGGTGGGACCATGCTACAGAATGGAATTGAAATAAATGTTTTGGGAGGGGGCTTGTCTTTGGGGTGTGGGCTGGGCAGAGGGAGGAAGTGTGTTTAACCACTCCATGTACAGTGGGTAGACAGTGAAAAGTGGCTGCTTATTTTGGATTCCAGAGCTCTGAAACACAAACTAGAAGTCATGAGACTTGGTCAGGTGGTGCATAATAGCTCCCAAAAAATGAATATGAAATAATAAAAGCAAAAAATAAAGTTTGAAAATTTGTGAAAAATAAAAATTAAACTCATTTTTTTCAAAAGCTTTGATATTCATTTTGAGGGAGTGGGAGTGCTGAGAGAAAGAAAGCATGGAACATGGGAAGAATGATTATAAATGAAAAAAATTGGAACCAAAAAAGGTTTAGCCAGGTTGGTGGTCCAGATTGGAGCCAAAAAAGTAAATTCTAGTGCTTTGCTGCAATGTGGGCTGGTGAATGCCCCACTCAAAAACTGTTTTAAGCCATCTGAAAACCAGTTTTTCCAAAATTTTCATTTACAATCATTCTTCTCATTTCTCAGTCTTTCTTTCTCTCAGCACTCCCACTCCCCCAAAATGAATATCAAAGCTTTAGAAAAAAATCAATATTATTTTTTATTTTTCACAAATTTTGAAACTTTAGTTTTGCTTTTATTATTTCATATTCATTATTTTGGACCTATTATGCACCACCTGACCAATTCTCATGATATGAAATTTGTGTTTTGGAGCTCTGCAATCCAAAATAAGCAGCCACTTTTCACTGTCTAGGCACTGTACATACATTCCCACACCTAAAGAGAACTGGTGTGAAACCAAACCCACAAGTTTTTTGGTATGTTTGACCACACCTGAAATGCATATCAAAGCTTTTGAAAAAAATAAATTTTATTTTTTACTTTTCACAAATTTTGAAACTTTATTTTTTACTGTTATTTTCTTATATACATTTTTTTGGGAACTATTATTCCCCACCTGACCAAGTCTCATGATTTCAAATTTGTGTTTTGGAGCTCTGGAATCCAAAATAACCAGCCACTTTTCACTGTCTACCCACTGTACAAGCTTGGTGGCTGTCAGCGCAACATTAAAGTTTTGTTAGCGGTCTGCATGCTGGAAATTGACTCAAATTTCTGAGATGATGGCTGAAACAAAAATGAACTGCTGAAAAACAGTTCCCAAATTGAAATTACACCAGACTTAAGAAATTATGATGACATTTTCAGAACATCCTGAGTTGGGTTTTCACAACCACACCAAAAACGTATCAAAATTCTAGAAGTTTTTCTAACTTTTGTCTTTTGTATCCACACTTTGCATCAGATGGCCGAGCAAGATTGTGAATTTCAAAGCCAGTAAAAGGCACAAGATTTCCTGGTGAGAATCCAGCTTATGACTTGATGGGCTCAATTTGAGAAGAAATGGAATTGTGAAAAATGCAGATTTCAAGCTGAGAGTCAAATGGAAATTCTACAGGCTTGGAAGGAACATTTCAAGCCAATGCACATTGTAATCAAGGGGAAAAAATGATTGGAACAGGGATGATATTGATGATCTCTATGTGACACATCACAATTTGAAATTGATTCTCAAATGACAGAACAGGCAAGAGGAATAAATATCTGTATTCTAATATTGCGGATCTTTCAGATGTTTTTTGAATAAACAAAAACTGCATGTTAGATACATTTATTCTTCACTGAGGCATTTTTCATTGAAGAAATCAATTCTTTAGCTCTGAGG